TCCCCCCACACACACACACACACCAAACTCCTGCCCCAGGGCCCCTCCAGCTTCCCCTCCCCAATTCCTGCCCCGGGCCCCTCCTTTCCGCAATGCCCAGCACCCTGCCGGGGCCAGCGGCCGGCTGGGGGTCTCCCCGGGGCTGCTCGGAGGCCAGGAGCAGCGGGACGCTCACCTCTCGAGGAACCAGCGGCCCCGCTCCCGGGAGGGCGCGTCTCAGCGGGCCGCCCGACTCCCCGCAGCGCTGCACCTGCGGGAGGGAGACTCCATTCACGGCGGGGGTGGGAAGCGGCTCAAGTGACCGTAGCAGCCGCCTCCATCCCGGGCGCTACCACCCACCTTCCCTTCTCAGGAAGCCTGCGCGCTACGGCCACCTCCCGGGTGGGAAGGGAGGGGCGCTGGCGCAGCAGCAGTGCGCCCCGTGAAGCCGCTTGCCGCCATCTTTGGTGCTGGCAGACGAGGCGCCGTGCTCGGGCACCTGGTGCAGCCTGCCCGGTGTATAGCAGAGAGGTCAGCTGTCTGATCCCCCATCCCATCCTCTCCTCAAGCATGGGGCAAAGGGTTTGGGGGCAGGAGTTTGGGGGTGTTATGGACACAGGCAAAGGGGGGATAATTGCACTGATCCCCTAGCTCAGGGTGCCCCCCAAACATAATGTCCGTGTAAATAAAATGAAATGGCGGGGGAGCAGCTTACATGAGCTTCCAGGGCCACCACTGTCTCTCATCAGGCCTAGCACAGGGCAGGAGGGGTGGAAGCCAGACCTCTGCCAAGTTTCACAGCTGGATTCTAGCTTTACAAAGAGACAAATCCAGACTCCCCCGGACCCAACATCTGCATTCTGCTGATGTAGCATGGGTCCATCTCCAGGTTAAATGAGACACTACATCTCGCCCATAGTCCCACCTGTCCACGTAGCCCCAGCCTCACCCTGCCCTGGAGTGGTTAAAAATCAATCGCTCTGCCAGACTTAGAGACCATACACTCAGGGGTGCTGCAACAATTTGTATAGTAGGGGTGCTGAGAGCCACCGAACCAAACTATAAACCCTATATATAATGGAAAGTACACCTCTACCCCGATATAACGCTGTCCTCAGGAGCCAAAAATTTTTATCGCTTTATAGGTGAAACCGTGTTATATTGAACTTGCTTTGATCCACCGGAGTGCATAGCCCCGACCCCCTCCCCCGGAGCACTAATTTACCGCGTTATATCCGAATTTGTGTTATATCGAGTCATGTTATATCAGAGTAGAGGTGTACTTCAAGCAGAGGGTGCTGCAGCACCCCTAGTTCCAGCACCTATGCATTCATCCCAGTTTCCAGAGAAGTTCCACTATCTCCAGAGCTTCTTCCGAGACACTTGAACTCTCTCAGATTTTCTTTACATCACTCAGAGTGCTCTGGCATTGTAATAACTACTCACCAGGGCCGCTGAGATTCACTGCCACCCATCCTCCTTTGCATGCTTGGTGCACTGCTGTGCCATGCTCATTACACAGTGAGCAGGTGTGCCAGACCAACACCTGTCACAACTTGTCAGGCAACTACAGTGTAGTACAAAAATGATGCGCTGATAACTCAGGCCTGGTCTACACCGAAAACTTATATCAACCTAGCTACATCACTCAAGGCTGTGAAAAATTTCATACTCCATCCAACAGTAGTTAGGTTGACCTAAACCTCACTGCAGATGGTACTGTCCTGGCAGCAAGCTCTTTGGGGCAGGGATGTCTAGTACTAACCTGTGTGCAAAGCACCCAGCACAATGGAGCCCTGATCTCAGCTGAGGCCTCTAGGTGTCACTATAATAATAAAAGTTTGCACATATTCTCACAGTTCCCATCCTATGCCTTCCATGTGGACCCTCTATCTGGGCTTCCTTTGCTCAGCTAGAAGCAACTTATGGCTCTGGCCTGCATGCTTAGGTGCCCTGACTACAGCTGGGCAAATAACAGATTTTTCAATTTACTAGCAATTCCAAAAAATTGGGGGCAGGGAAGGGTCAAACTGAAAACCATCTTTTTCAAAGAATTTGGCATATAAAAAAGCTAAAAAATTGCATGGGGTCAAAGAAAACATTTAATTTCTATTTTGAGTATGTTTTCATATTACAAAGAATAAAAGTAAAGGAAATTTTGCAACAAAAAGTCATCTCAAATCAAAAAATCAAAACATTTCATTTTGAAAGTGTCAAAATGAAACACTAATTTCTTGGAGACTTTTGTGTAGGAGCTTTTTTTAATTTTTAAATTAAACAATTTGGTGAAACTGACCCAAGTTTGCTAAGTGTTTCGGTGGCACCAAATCTGCTTTTTTCACTGGAGAAAAGTTATGGTGCAAAAATTTTGTCAGGCTCTACTTGCATCCACCCGTCTAGTGCCTTATTCACTAGATCACACTGCTTAGTTTGAGCCAGAAAATGTAAATGGAAGAAGGATGATCGTATGTTTAAGGCACAGGCCTAGGAGTCATGAGAGCTGGGTTCCATGCTTAACTCTGCCTCTGGCTTACTACAAGAATGTGGGTAGCCAGTCTGTGCCTCAGTTTCCCAGTCTGATAAATGGGGATTATAATACACAAGAGGGAGGGAGAGTAAATTCATTAAAGCATGTAAAGTGTTTTGAGATGCCTGTAGGAAAGATGCTAGAGAAGAGCAAAATATTGTTATATACATTAAAATTTATATGCTGATCAATGGAAGGTTCCAAATGGTCTTGTTTGTCCCATAGAATAGAACAGAATTACCTTTCATATTTCTGATATCCTAAAGCATTTGTCAAATATTAAATACTTCAAGTACAGGGACTGTTCACAGAGTGATCAGCCATTGTGCACTCTGCATCGGGTGTTGCCTTTTGAAGATTTGTTCTGGAAGACCAAACGTGTTCTTGGAATAGCAGGAGGTGCATCAGGTCAGGACTGAGGTGCATTGGCAGAGCTGTGGGTCAGGGGGAAACTCAGGGCTGGATAGCAGGGTGGGCTACAGGCTGAGTTTGAGGGGTATCAGGAAAACAGTGTGTGGGAAACCCCAGACTGGAATAGCAGACAGCTGCAGAACAGAATGGAGGGAAATTGGAAGAGCAGTGCATGGTGATTTGGAACGAGCCTACCTGTAGCATACCTGTTTCTTTCCAATGCTGTTTCTCCATTTTATGAGCACATTGGGAGGCAGGAGAGAGGATCAGTGAAAAAAATATTGTAAAGAAAAGAGGAGGGAAATATAATAATCTTCTGGGTCAGGTTTTTAGGACTCACTGAATGTGAATTTGGACCAGAATTACTGTACTCTCTGAGAATAAGCAGGCAACTCAGAACAATCAGTCAGATGCTTTATAGTAAGTCTAGGGTATAAAATAAACCTGTTAAGTGCTGCAAATTAGTGCATGTTTCTTTTTGTAACTAGCTTCTAGGAGATATAGGGGTGTCTGACAATAGACGACTTTAAAACTGGAACCCTGACTTGGATAGATGTGTTGGTTATTAAATAATATTGCAGCACATACAAGCTACACAGATTTTCTCTAACTCACTGACACTCAAAGTAGAGAGGCTATTGTATGGAACGGATAGTTACCAGTACAGTGAGGTAAAGGCAACAAAGAGGGTTATGCAGAGTCTAATATGTAATTAACTTCAGCTTTCATAGGACCAGATTGTCAGAAAATTGGGTGTCCTGTATTAAAGTTCACACACGCTGGAGCAGGACTGTACTGTAATTTGCATAGTAGCATTTAGTATCAGGGGGTAGCCGTGTTAGTCTGTATCTACAAAAACAACAAGGAGTCTGGTGGCACCTTAAAGACTAACAGATTTATTTGGGCATAAGCTTTCGTGAGTTAAAACCTCACTTCTTCGGATGCATAGAGTGAAAGTTACAGATGCAGGCATTATATACTGA